TTTATCTCTGACGATGGACTCCCGCAAGAGCCCGAAAGCTCATATGAATAAAATTACGATTCCGGTGAACGGAACGACTTCTTCTAGGTACATTATGTGTCTGAGATACAAGGGCGACGCAGCATCGATGGGCAACAACTGTTCTAGTTGAGCGCTCGACTTCATCAAACCAAGTATGGCGATAATGCCTATTCCGCTTATCCGCCCTGCCTAAAGTTGCGATTGAAGAAAGAAATCGAACGAAAGAAGAATAGTTAAATATAGGGATGGACTGACGCGGTCAGAAGGCTGAAGTTATCGACAACATGGCAGTCTAATGACATTGATACCAAGCTAATCCATTCTGTTTACAGCCATCCACGAAGGATAGGGGTACGCACTTTTTAAGTACTACTATGATCCCAGCATTCACTTATTTTTGTTTTAGGTACCGGAATCTAGAGGCTCCGTTCCTACTAACTAACTTACCAGTGAAACATATAAGCAGTGTAATGCGTATATGAAAAATACTATTCTATCTTGGTGGCTGAGTGAGGGTTTAACGTTTAGCATGAATGGGATTGTGCGACATGTTACTTCAACGACACTGATACCAAGTTAATTCATTTCGTTTACAAGTATTTACGGAGAAGAGGGATACGTACTTTTTAACTACTACTATGATCCCAGCATTTACTTGTATCTATGTTTTAGGTACCGGAACCTTGAAGCTTAATGCACTGAAAAAGTGACTGGCTTCTGAAGCAGTCAAACTTATAAATAGCGAAATTCGTATATGCAAAATACTATTCTATCTCGGTGGTTGGGTTATCATTCAGGATGAAGATAATTGTACGAAAAGGCAGGGAGATGTGCATTTTCAAAACATGGAATAACTTGTTGTGGACAGCCTTACGGTGTTTACAACAGCCTCCCATGGTAGGTGACTCAACAGACTGCGAGCAAGACGGCTACGAACTGAGTGCAGGGGGACCAGCTCGGACTCCGAGTAACCGCCGATCCAGCAGAGGATTTGGCCGAGGTCCTCTGCAGTAGCCTTGAAGAGACGAAGAGGCAGGGCTTCCACCAAGTCTAACAACTAAAATGGGGAAACAATTAGGTGAAGGGGAGACACTGTGACATGTAAGTAGATAGACAAGTTGCGGTGTTTCAGTATTGCCCTGAGCCACGCTGGAGCAGCACCGTTCCTCATCTTTTCAACTTTGTACTACCTAAGATAAGTAATAATCGAATTCGTCCCAACTGCAAACAAAAACCGGTAAAATTATCCGTGTTTGTATCGGAACCTACGGAAAAGTATAGCAAAAATAACTACTGGTGCAGCCACATCATTTAACGAGTCCGCTCAAGACTGCCAGCTACAGTTTGGGGCCGTTCGAACCAGTCAGTGGAAGCTATGCCACTTAAAGTTGCAACCAAGGTATGGTTGCTGTTTGGAGCCCAGCTTAACCGAATGGCAGCATAACCTTGCAGGCTGTCCTGGGGCGTCGTGCTTGTGACTGACTGCCATCAATGG